TTTAACGCAGTGCCATTTTTGTCGTCGCTTTTCACCATTTATTTTCTATTTCAAGCAAATGACCTGTTGAATGGTATTCTGAATTTGTCATTACTACATTTTAGTGTATGCTATACAATTTCAGCTCTTATCGTAACACCATCTGCGGCAGCAGGACTCATTTGCCATAACATTTGGTGCAATGCTCGACTTGGTGGATATGGCAATTCTTGCACGGAAAGTTACTCATTATGCAATTCTAAGCGAGATCGAAAGTACCGCTCCAAAGGGAAACCAGTAAGAAGGGGGGATAGAGGTAAGAGTGGAGAGAAGACATGTCCGTACAAGCAGAGAGACAGCAAAATCAGAAGCAGCAGCTGTGGGGCACCTGACGAATTGGTATGAGCTAGTAATTGGGATTAACACTTGACAATTCAATCTGTTTGACGCAAATTTGCTCTAGCAGTATATGAATCGATCTAACATTTACACCAGCCTTTGCTCTAGCAGAAATCTTGATTGGAGAAAGATATATGATCAACAATAACTATATGTGGGAACTGAACCAAATTGTAAATCGGATATCATATAAATTAGAGCAAATTATCTGAATAGCCACTAAACTTTTTCAATAATGAAGATTTGGCCATTAAACTATTAATGGTACGTTTTTACCCACTGAACTATCAAAAGTATAAAATTCGACCGTCTAATTCCACCATTAATTTTGCTAGATATAAGAGTCCACACGATTTATGAGACATACTATTTAATAGTTATATATGGTAGAATCAACGATAAAATTAGACAGAATGAACCGAAATTATACTTTTAATAGTTTAATGGGTACAAACATACTATTAATAGTTGAGTGGCCAAAACTCGACTATTTAAATAATACAGTGATTACTTTAATAATTTGCTCTATAAATTACGATTGGACTTGCATACATCCAAAAAAGGAAAAAGACCTTAACTACTACAACTTCACCACTTAAAAAAAAAAGAAATTCTGTAAATGTGGAAAAAGGTGAACTAACTAAAACGAATTGTTGTCTAGCTATTGCATGGATGAATAAAACAAGTCTTCAAACACGTTTGACAAGATCACGACTTCTGTCCGACTGCATGGAATGCTCACATCGAGCTATCTAATCTCTCTCGCGAACCTTGTTGTATACATATTGGTACCAAGGAGACAAGCAAACGCCGCCGTTGTATGTGCAAAACTCATCGCAGAAGCTCCGGAATGAATCATACTTAAGCAGAAAAACAGATAAAAAGGGGTTCGGAGGAAGGAATTACAAGGCAGAAGATCAAGCAAGATAACTATTATTACTTCTATTTCTTATATACGCAGAATTTTCCATGATGTCCCTAGTAGAGTCGGAAAAGGATTGAGTTTAAATTCAATCAGGCTTAATTGATATTGATTGTTTGTTTCCTTTTTCTCTTTTTGGAAAGAGAAATAAAGCAATTTTTTGCTCTATTTGGGTGTATAACGATAACGGTAAATTTTATCTTAGTCCAAAGTAACTACCAATTGAGCTTTTGACCAATAAAAGTGTTCCAAATAAAATTACAAAGTACAATAATTCGATATTAAGGCCGATTAAGGTTGTAGAGTCCTTATTTATCTATTCTCGTACTTTCGAATTGGTCAAAACTAATGATTGAGGAAGTTGGTCCAAATTGAAGTAAAGTTTCTTTGTTTACCCCTCCGATATAAAATTTTTTAGGGTTAAAAATAAAAAAACCCCTTGTGGTATATCTAATATACAGAAAAGTCCCCTTTGGTTTCAAAATATATAACACCTCATGTTTTGAACTAAATTGTAAACCAACAAAATTCGTTAAATTTAACGAAAATGACGGTTTCGGCCGTTAAACTTATCAGATTCCGTTAAATTTACCGGATTCCGTTAAGTTTTCCGTTAAATTTACCGGATTTCGTTAAGTTTAACGAATTTTATTAGTTTACAATTTAGTTCAAAACATGACGCGTCGTTTTGTATATTTTGAAATCACGGGGCTTTTCTATATATTAGATATACTACAGGGGACTTTTTTGTTTTTAACCCAATTTTTTATAAGATAATGATCAACATATTGAAACGCCATGTAACAAGGGCAGAATACTTGCCTTATTTTCTTGGCAACTTTGTGAAATGGAAATAAAATTTTTGATAAGATAATGATCAGCGTATTGAAAAGTCATATCCATCTGGGAATAGCAGAATACTTGCCTTATTTATTGACAACTATCTATTCAATCAGGAATTCTACAGCTTTTCTCCATAGTTATCTATCATTTACTCACTAAGGCTTCTAAAATTATCTGATCACGCTGCAATGTGTGTGTGTGTGTTTGTCAAGTAAATAAACATATTGAAAACTCAAATCCGTTCGGATGCTATACAATGAATCAAATTCCCTTGTACTGAACATTTGGATAGTATAGCAGTGTAAGACGAATTGCAATTTGAACACTATGATAGTGTAGAATGAAACAAAAATCTCTATTAAAGATTATAATGGAAAGATTGTAACGGTTAAACAAATGATCCGATCACTTAGTCAATTCAATTTTAAACTTAATTAAGGTCAATGTAGAGGAACCTAATTCTGTAATATCCCATCTAATATAGCCTATATTTTCACTATCCTTTTTTTTTTTAAGAGGATCAATAATGACTCCTCCATAGTCCCAAACGAAAAGAGTTTTACCAAAATCAAACTATGCTTCATTGTCACTAGCATTTTCTATAGGGCCACATGCGGGTTTGAAGTATTTACAAATGGTAGTCAAAGAAATTCAAATTACTTGGACAGTGTTAGAGGGAATTTCCTACGATTTAGGAGTACTTATTCAGAATTTGCTGCAGAAGTACGCTTATGACACCAGATGCTGAGATCTTAGGAAACACCCCAAAAAAAATAGTAGCAAAGAAAATAAGATCAAACTTCAAATTTCTAACTAAACTCGCAGAGGTCCTTTATAGTGGGCTTAAGAACTGAAAAAACTGCATGCCATCCTGCTTGTGTTGGGTGCGCATTATCCCAAAAGAATGCATGTTTGGGTTTTCTACAAACTGTATACATTTGTTTTCCATTGCTATCCACATCTCCACAAGAATAATTTGCTATCCCTTGACAACAAGGAGTTAATGGAGCTTCTGCATGCAATTTTGCTGCATCAAACCCCAAAAAAAAAATATTTGTTATCACTACTTCACGAATAGGAAGAGCACAACAACAAGAGAAGGCCCTTCAAAAAAAAAAAAGGAAAAAACCATTGTGCAAGTTGTTTTCTTGAGAAGAGATTTTTAGACTTGAACTGAGGTAATAACGCACTCTTACATAGTAGCATTGTGTTCTACGGAGGAAAAAGAAAGAAAAACAGGAAAAGCAACCATATTCTGGCATAAGATTTGTGTTAAAAGACGTACATGTAGTGAAAATATAAACTTAAAGCTTGTCTAAGGACTACTGTATACTATATTTTTTTTTTTTTTAAAAAGACTCCTTTATATAAGATTAGGTTTTTTCTAGGATAAGCACACCCAAAAAAAGTAGACCTATTATAAAATTCTAAAAATATCCTTACTCTTTTTTTTGATAAGTAAGAAGATTTGAATTCAGAACCTCTTACTTATGACTCTTCTACCTTAATTACCACCCGACCCTACCTTTCCCAAATATCACTCTTCCTTACTTCTTATTTCACCTGCACTGCACGTTTTTGCTTATAATTTTCAATTTTTTGGCCCCATTTTTTATCCGCATAGAATAAAAGAATCCACCAAGATAAATCCTAGATAATTGAACAGGGTGAACATTTGAAAAACAGAAGAAACAACACGATCAAGAAAGTAAGATAAATCACCTTTGCGATCTTGAACATGTTGGATAATTGCAGTGAATGCAGCATCAAGATCAAGAATCTCGAATTGAGTCGATAAGCTCTCATTGTTCAGCTGTGCCACAGAATCTGCTAGAATGGAATTATGTAGTATAGACGCCATGTTTGCGGTGTCATTACATTGTTTGAAACCACTGCTTATTGTAATTACAGGTACACATCCTATTGGTGGCAGCGACCCCAGTGCTATTCTCTTCACTCCTAACTCTGAAATGCGTTTCAAGATCGCTACAAGTTTTTGCACCACACCAGGGATGAAAGTATTTATGAGATCCTGTGAATGAAAAACTGTGTTGTAAAACCATAATCATGCATCAAATTCATTTGCCACTGGTTGTTGTGTTACATCATTTATTAATTTCTTTTGGGTACCCTTACATTTTGTATTTTACAAGAATATAAACAAAGGTGTACCCAAAAAATATACATGATTCCACATGGGTAAAAGCTCAATTTCCAGAAGCGGAAAAAATTATACATGTATCTTAGGGGCAGGGGTAAAACACAAAGAGCATTCAAAAGTAAAATAGGAGTACCAAAGATTGTAGCATATCTACAAGCATTCTATTTTTTACCCCTAAGTTAGAGGGAGATTTCAAACCTTACAAAAATGGAGAGAGAAATGGAAGAACTTGAGAATCTTTAGACTTATGCAAACACTTTTCAAAAATTATGGTACTATTCTAGCTTGACTTGACAACAAATTGATTAATCTCCCAAATCCAAACCTTTTTCCCTTCTTTCTCCCTAAATGTTAGCCACATCCCTACGTTTCAGATACTCATCCTATCATCCAAAACCTCTAAAATCTCATTTAGATATCCATTGCTTCCGAGAATAGATTCTAATGCTACTTACTTATCTTTTTTAAAAAACAAAAAAAAAGTATATGAAGTTCAAAGGGAAATACCATAGATAAATTCAGATTAATTTATGAATTTTCTATTTTAAAATTAACTTGAACTAAGCTAAACCTATGAAAATGGATCGAGTATCATATATAATGCTCCAAAATCGAATGGTTCTGATATATTGTAATTTTACCAAAATGGTGCCTCCTCTTGCTAAAAAAGCAGAATAATCGTTGCCTGAAAGAGTAACTAGAGTCAAAGAGTGTTCAAGGTCGCATTTTGAGTACACACAACTTTCTTGATGAGTTCTTCAAAAAAATCAACTTGGGTGCTGAAATTAGGCACTGAAGACAATGTTTTGCCCACACCAGCCCCTCCAAAGGCAAAATTTATCCCATATTGCAAATCCTTCTTCTGTGCATTCCTCGTTCTATATGGCACTGGAGACTTTAGTCCTAAGAAATCCGCTGCTCATTCCAAAATATACCCAACCAAAACTCAGTACATCATGCAGAAACCAGCATGGAGAATATGCTAATGTCAAAAAACTCATATCATCTAGTTTTGAGAGAGTTCTGCTTAAAATTTATGCATGGAAAAGAAAAGTCTTGGCATTAACTGCGATACATTTC